AGAGACAGGTTCAGAGGAGTAGCCCAGGACAAGCTGCTGCTGCCCTTTGCTCCACTGGCTGTAAGTCTCATGGGGTCCCTTAGAGTTTAGGAGATGCACACCTGTGGGGGGAGAAGAGGGAGAAGGGAAAGGTAGGAGGGAGAGCAAGCCCTGGGTCCTTTGTCTGAGGGTTTTAAAGGTTGATAGTTTAGGGGAGGTCTTAGGGGAGAATCTCAATAGAATATTCATTATCTTTATGCTGATGCAACACAATGAGATTTATTCCCTTAACTTCATCTGTTCTTGAGTGTGGCTGGTACAAATGGCACTAATTGGATTTCTGCTATCTATCTCCCTGAGTAGGATGATTTAAGCTATTTGCCCTTGAGTATGCTTAAGTGTCCTTGGTTAGGGAAGATAGGGTTTTGTGATTTACTAGTAACTATATGGTCATAAACTGCTTGACCGTTTAACTATCTGTCTCGGCTTCCCTATTCCACTTGTCCTGGCTTACTAGCCTGTCTCAATTCACAAGTTAATTTTGTTTTGCAGATCTATATTTTCTTGAACCTAGTGAAGCGCTAAGTAACACACAGAAATTAATTTTGCCAGTTCACATTTCCCAGTGGAGATCTTGAAAAATTTAATAATAAACAAAATGCCCACATTGGAGCTGAGAGCAAATCTGAATATTTTCAGTCTACAAGGTGTCTTTTCACAAGCATATTCTGTCGACTACAAATTGGAATAGATTTAAATGCCGCCATCCTGCATGACCTCCGAGTGTTTCCTGGAAGTGACTAATCCAGGCCTTAGCAAGGAGCTTTACCCGTGTCTGCTTACTTAGATACACTCTGCCTTCAAGCTCCGTTAGTGGCCAAAACTTAAACTGTAGCAGATGAGACACAATCTTTCAGCATAAAATAACACATACCAGCCTTCAGGTTCTAGAGCGGAAATTTAAGTTTTTTTTCTCTTTTGAATACTAAGAATGTCTTTCAAATATCTTATCTATGTACAACACATTCCAGAAATTTTAACCCAATTTCATAGTTTAGACTTGGGAATAGACATAATTCAAAGACCAGAGATATTTACAAACTAATGAGATCTAGGCCTCTTGGGGATACGTGAAGAGTTTTCCTGTTCTGTCTGTGCATGCAGAGTTCAGAGTTTCACACCAGTAAGAATCTATCTGCGCTGATCCTGGGGGAGGGCCAGGAGGGGGTGGGAGGTTTCATTTTCTCCCTGAGATCAAGTTGTAGCAGAAGCACAACTGTAACAGTTTTATTTTATACTCCATTGTCTTGATCAATTTTAGATCAATTTTAGACAAAACTGAAAAGCTGGAAATTCCAAGCTAACAGCTATGCATAAGAATCATCAGCGTTCCAAAGAAAGGCATTGATTTTAACTATAGGCAGGATATTTTGTTGTTGTTGTTTGGTCTGCCAGTATTACATGTGTTCTAAAGCTTTTGGGAAACAACTTTTTCAAACAGCTTGGAGGGAGTCATTTGTCACGGTTCCCCGGAGCTTGAACCTTCTAAAACCAAATTATTGGCAGATACATTTTATAAATATATTTTTCCACAGACATATAGAAAGAGTTTGTTCTTCAACATTTCTTTTTTCTACTTTAATTCTAATGAATGAAATAACAAATAGCAACTCTAAAAAAAAGTCAGAAACATGCTCTTGTAAAAATTGAACTTTAAGAAGTATTAAGTCCTTCTAACTGACAATAAACAAGAATTTTCTTGTCAAATATAGAAGGAGAGTTCCCCAATGAGGAAAAGTTTCCCATCGTTTCTTATTATGCATTATTTTAGTGCAGCGACTTCTCACCACTTAGACTAAGGTAAGGTGAAGAGAAAGTCTGCAGGCAGGCCTCAAGAAATTTGATTCCGAAAATTTGAAAGTCATGCCGCCAAGAAACATAAATATTTAATGTAAGCAAACATATTCATCTAATTTTAAAGACATTGTCGAACTAGTGAACTCTCGGCCCTATGAATTTATGAAGGAAACAGTACGGTTCTGATAGCTAATGTTTAATTAATAATGATATCTTTCCCAGATTCTACATCCAAAGTCAAGTGCTCAGGGTGGGGAAAGAGAGGTATATACGTGAGTTGACTCTGAGTCTATTTTCAGGTTATTGTAATATTGGATTTCCTCCTTGCTGACTGTCATTAGGAGACAGGTAGATGCTAACCCAGGAAGGAACTGGGAAGGGCATTCAGTCACTCAAGAAACAGTCATCAGTGTCTGGTCTGCATCAGGCACTGTAGTGAGCACTGGAGATAAAAGACAAAACACAGTTCCTGGCCTCAAGCAGGTGATAGCTCAGGATGGGAAGCAAACATGGAAACAAATACAATAAAAATGTTTTGAAATGTGATAGGAGAAGGTATAAGGTCAACTCTGTGAGCATGGTAACAGGGGAAATGGAGAAGAATGTTCTTGAGTCAACTTGAAAGATAGGTACATATTTGCACGTGGGCCAAGAAAAGGGAGAAGGAAAAGTCTGAAAGGAGAGAAAATAGTGGGTGCCAAGGCCTGGAGACGGAAACAGAATGGATTTGGGAACAATGAGTAGTAAGTAAGGTGTGACTAGAATGAATGTGGAGAATTTGACACAGCTTGAGGATGGCTAGGAAGGCATGGTAAGGATTCGGGATTTGATCTTACATAAATAAATGTAATAATAATAATAATAATAATTGTAATAACTAATATTAAGCACTTTTTCTGTGCCAGGCATTGGTATCAGCACTTTGCATGAATTGAATTAATTTAATCTTCACAACAACTCTATAAAATCACTATTATTAATTATTCTCATATTACAGATAAGGAAACTGAGGCATGGGGAGGTTAAATACTTGACCAAAGTCACACAACAAGTAGTGAATCCAGAAATCCAACCTAGGTGGTCACATTCTTGATCACTAGTTTGTGTGCCTACCTAATGGCTGGTAACTTTTTTTTCAGCAGAGGATGATATTATCAGGTTTTATTTTAGAACGATCACTCTCATGCTCATGTGGAAGACTGAAGATGGAGGGCAGGTGGGGGTGGTTAGTGGAAGAAGAATCTAGACAGACCAATTTGGAAATTGTTCAAAGATCCAAACAAGAGGCAATGACTACCTCAGCCAAGAAATTCTCGAAGAAACCCAGAAACCCTAGCAGGTCTTGGGGAGGCTTGGCCAAGGAGGACCTAATGTATTTGACACTCAGAGTACTTGCTTTTTAGTGTACCCTCCGGCTCTATACAAAAAATGCGTTCAATTAAAAACCATATAATGGAACAAATGACAATGACCAGAAAAGAAACATACATACTGAACATTTCTTCTATTGAAGTCTTGTATGTAATCATGCCAGAAAAATTACAGATTAAATAGACTTTTGTACAAAAAAGGGAAAACAAAAAGGATTAAAACTTTAAATTATTTTAATATATTTTTTGAAAAAAGAGAAAAAAGTATTCTCTTATGGAGGAATATAGTCCAAAGTGATACTGAGTAATAACAAAGACGAGCAAATTGTTCTCACGAAGCCCATGGATCTAAGAGGGAGAAAAAGCTTAAACAAACATTTGTTTGGGCTCAGTCCTGGAGGATAAGTAGAATTCATCAGGTAGCCGGGAATGGGGCCAGGGAAGGGCATTCCAGGAAGGAGGAATGGCATAAGGAAAGACATGCATGGTGATGAGGCTGGGAGAAGGAGCTCTGCACGTTCTTGGCTTGAATCAACCTTGAGGGCAGGGAAAGTCCATGAGTGAGAAGGACTGGAGAGGAGAGGATGACATTACAGAGATTGGTGGGACCAAATGCCAACGGTTTTGCACGCCCCAGAAAGTTTTTTCTTAGGAAGATAGGTGGCAGTGTGGAAGATAGACTGGCAAGGGTGGTGACAGGCGAGGCAGAAAGACCCAGGAAGAGGTAATTGGGCCCTAAACGCAGCCCGTGGTAGTTGGGGTGGAAAGCAGATGTTTTCTTCTGCTCTCCCCCAGGGCAGCAGGTAGATGCCTGAGTCTCAGCCTTCACTAGACCCTGGTTTGTTTCTCACTCCAATAGCCCAGCAGATGTGCCTCACAGAATAGGTGCTGTAACTTGCACTGAATAGTGTCTTACACAGTGCCCGTGGATAGGAAGTGTGCTCTTTCACCTGTAGTTCCAAATATGCCCTTTAGGAAAGGTGACAGTATGGGCTTACATCAGACTGGGCAAAGTTATTATTAGTGTTCCCATTCACTCGTAAAAGTATCCTGCTTTGGATGATAAATTATATGGCAACAGTATCTTTGGATAACCCCTCTCGAAGGGACCTTTGTGGGTTCCTAGTTTGTGGAATCTTGATGGTGGTGAGGATGGGAAGAAATCATGAACCTCATTCTGTCTGGACCAACCCACCCCTCCATTCCCCACCCTGGAAAAACTCCCCTGCCTGTCTCCAGAAGAATTAAGGGGGGTTCAGCCTTGAGGGAGAGTGGAAAGCGTATTGGAATGAGACCTTAGAATACTAGAGTCTATCTCCAGCTCTGCCCACAAACAAGCGGTGCAGCCTTGGACAAGTTGACCACCGCTCTGGGCCTCAGGGTCCTCAGGAGGCAAGCGAGGTCTCTTCCAGCGCTAAGTAATTCCCACAGGGCCCACTTGCCGGAAGCTAGTAAACCACGCAGCTCTAGGCATGCTCACCTGCGCCTGAGAATCACCTCCAACCCCAGCTCCGCGCACAACGCACCACACATCCCTTTTTTCCTGCCGCTGTCTCTGCCCTGGGGTGCGAGCACCTTCGGTAGCTTTTGAAACACAAAACTCTCTCAAAGCTGACCCTATAGCAGCAAGAATCCCGATGAAGACAGCAGTTAAACACTGGCCGAATACAGTTGGTCCCAACCCGCCCACCCTACCGCGCATGCCCTGTGAGCCCCAGCAGGCCCTGCTCCAGCCCACTTCAGCTTCCCCCAAGCGTGGCAAAGACTTTTTGCCCTGTTTTTTTCCTGTTTTACCTTGAATCCCTTTTCCCAGCCCTTCCTCGGCGCGGGGACAAAGCTCTGTTCCTCAGCAGGCTGGGAAGGTCCACAGCCCATGCTGCGCGCC